AGTGGACTTTTATAGGCTGTAATTAATAGAATGATGGATCAGTAAGACAATGGGCCGGCCACCACTTGGAAAACCGAAAATTTATGAAAAACAAAGGTCCTTAAGTGGCAGCATCATATCGATAGGCGAAAAGTAGTAACTAAATGGAGTGACAACCTGGTAATAGGTACAGGAAGTCGATTGATGCCTGTGGCTCAGGACTGTTCTTTATGACATTCCCTTAGGGGAGGGGGCGCTGTTCAGCAGCGCACTTGTGATAGCCTGTAATGATCATGATGATGAACACTGTCGTTGTTGATGGATGATTATTTTTATTTTTACTTTATTGTTATACACGATTAGATGAAATATTACTCTTAATAAAACATTTTCATCGTAAACTATCTTCGCCGCTCTCTGAAGTCCTTTAATTTTAAAATATTTTTTACGTGGTAGAGCCATGCTGCAACTATATTTTTGTAGCACGAATAGGTCGACTCGACTAGGGAGGACCACGCTCTAACAGAATAGCAGCGTAAAATGGCAACTAAATGCTGCTGGTGACGTATGGTAAGTGTAGATAATCGGAGAACATTATTAATGGAATGAGGCATTCCATCTTAGCCCTTAGGGGGAGACAACGCATCTGCATTTTGATGCTTAATGGAGGATAAATGTTGATGTCTATGGGCCACAGCAACCACTTACTATCAGGTGGACTGTGTGCTCGTTTGCCACCCTTGTATTATAAAGGAAATGTCGATGACCATTGACCACAATATTTACTTACTATTAAGGTAGATTGTGTGTTTATTTGTCACAATATTTGCTTATTATTAAGGTGGATTGTGTGTTTATTTGTTACGAATACGCAAAAGTCTACGAAAACGAACAAAGACAATTTGAACCTTAGTGTAATTACATACATAATTTGAATAAAATGCCAACTGAAATATAATGACGGAATACATGTCATGTCATTTCAGTTTTCACTTACATACCATGCACCATGCATTATGTGCTTTTTGCCTCCTATACTTGAAGGAATTGATGAGTTAATGGTTAAATTTTATGCCTTAGAAATGCTTATCGGCTGGCTAATTTGATTTCGAATATAAAACTGATATTAAAGCCGTATTAAGCTCATGACTAACCAAATCACTCACCCATTTGTTTTCTTGCTATAAATTTCACATAGTTACAAAGATTTTTTCCAGACGGTTAACTAGCTTTTATGTAGACATGTGACATCCTGACTCTGAATAAAAATCGTTTTCATCTATCAGCTTTAGTTTTTGAGATATGACATATGCGTGATTTCTTAGAAGAATATAATACCATTAAAATATTTAATTTTTAGAAGCCGCCAAAAGTGAATTTTTTAATGATTTTCTTGCATGTGATAATTGTGGTAGGTCTCGTTTCAAACTCCAGTAACAATCTGACATCATGTGCACATCCCATCTGCCATTATATCGTTCTTCCATGGTGCGAATTTCTTGATGGAATCTTTTTCCTTGTTCATCACTAAAGTGCCCAATATTTTTAGGAAAGTGGTCCAGATGGGAGTCCAGAGGTCTCATGTTGCAACCAAGATCCTTCAGACATAGTAACATACGTCGGACCAAGTCTTGGTAGTTTGGTGCTTCAGTTTAAAAGTTCCAAAAAAGTTTTTTATTACTGGCACAAATGATTTCCATGCTATAGACTCATTTTCATTCATTGTTTTAACAAATTTTTCATCATTACCTAGCTGACGTATTTGTGATCCATCAAATATTACAGCTTTTAATTTTTCTGTAGCTATGCCAGAAAATTTCTGGGCAACATACTCAAAACAGTCGCCATTTGTTTGATACAACATGCACCTTGACATACTGCTTCATTATACCAAGTCTCTCAAGATGTCGAAGGTAAATCTGATTGTATAGGCTCTTGAGCTAGAATAGGTACCAAAGTTCGTCATTTAGCAGACGGTAAATCGGGATGAATCCATTTACTGTGGTTATTTGAATTAATACCGTTTACAATAACGACGCAAAAATAGCAATCATCATGGTGATTTTTTGGTTCTAGTCAGATCATGTGGGTTGTGAACTTCAAGGAACTTGATTAAAACTACTTTTACGGATTTTATCGCGTTTATTTTTACTTTTTATTTACTCTTTATTTTTAATTCCCGCTCGTTTCGGGCGCTTTCCAGCACCCATGACCATGGGTTAGTTTTAATCATGTATAGTGTTCGCGTAAATATAAGAAATCATTATTCAAGGAACTTCTTTTTCCACTTGACCATTGTCACAAACTAACAAGACAATTTTAGTAACAGCTTTAGGCACCCACGGCTTGTCCAAATTACACACTTGTGCTTTAAAATAGTCCGTATACTCAATTTTTATGAAATCTGTCACCGATTTTCTATAATTTTTAAAAACATATTCACCACAAATAATCAAAAAACAAAATCCGGATCGTGTAAACAAGGCCTCCTTGATGTAATCGTTAAAATTGTATCTCAACTGATATTAACACCGTGTTAAATTCGTAAATGCGCACCTACCCTCACATAAAATACCAAAAGCTGTGTACGAAATACAAAAGCTGATGGATAGAAACGGCTGGTAGATTTAAATTAACTGTATCAAAAGATGAAAGAAAAGTGAAAAAAACTTCCGGAAAAATTTAATAAGTAAAATTTTGTAACTATGTGTTCTCTTTAATATTATCAAAAATTTAAATTCACCTTATTTTAGAACATGAATTCCTCCCGGGGGATAAATACTGAACAGATGATAACCAATATAAACAAGGCACCGCTATTGAAGCTATATTGAAAGCGGAATCGCTTCAAACCATATCCGAACCGGCAGTTATGTTTAATTATTCAGTCAACCAAAAGGCCGACAATCATTTTAAAAAAATGATTCTAATAATAATTATGATAGTAATAATGGTGACGATGATGAATTTTTAGTTATGGGTTCACTTCAAAAAAAAAAATCCCTAGTAAAAGTAGTTTAACTGTTCTCTGATATTAAAAATAAAATAATAAAATTATTTTTATTTAAATTCTATTTATTCCTTTTTTTAAATGTGACAACCCACTTAAGACGACATATCGAAAAAGGCTCCGGGCTATCACCCTACTGATCCGAGTGAATACATATTTTCTATAAAAACTTAAAAAAAACGCCGTCTTAAGGTCTAAAATTGCGTATCGGCCGCGACTATTAAAACCGCTTAGAAATTGTCAGAATCTTTAAATATTTTTTAAAAATTATTAATACTGAGCGAGATTAGAATGGCTCTCCAGCACCTTAAAACGGCAAGTCCCCGTGCGAGGATGGAATTACAGCGGAGCTTCTGAAAGCGGGTGGAAAACCGGAAATTGAAGTCCTTCAGAGGCTCTTTAATTTCATCCTCCATGGTGGCACTACTTCGGAGACGTGGAGCAGAAGTGCCGTGGTCTTGTTCTTCAAGAAAGGTGACTCCGCCCTCTTGAAGAACTACGGACCGATTTCCCTTCTGAGCCGCGTCTACGTGCTGTTTTCGAGAGTCATTACGAATCATCTCGCACGCAGACTCGACGACTTCCAGCCTCCCGAACAAGCCGGTTTCCAAAAAGGCTTTAGTACCACAGACCACATACATACCCTTCGGCAAATTGTACAAAAGTCCGAAGAGTACAAACTGCCACTTTGCCTGGCGTATGTGGACTATGAGAAAGCCTTTGGTTCCGTCGAAATTTGGGCGGTACTACAGTCTCTTCAGCGGTGCCAAGTTGACTGTCGGTATATCGAAGTGCTGAAGTGTTTGTACAGTAGGGCTACGATGGCTATCCGAGTACAGAACCACAGTACGAAACCTATCCAACTGCAAAGAGGTGTAAGACAGGGTGACGTTATTTCCCCGAAACTCTTCACCGCTACATGGGAAGATGTTCTCAAGCTACTGGACTGAAAAGGATACGGTATTAACATCAATGGCAGAGTACATCACTCACCTTCGATTTACCGACGATATAGTCCTTATGGCAGAATCGCTGGAGGACTTAAGCACTATGCTCAATGACCACAATAGTGCCTCCCAACGGAAAGGTCTTAAGATGAACATGGACAAAACAAAGATCATGTTCAATGTCCATGTCACACCTATGCCGGTAGTTGTTGGGAGCACTAAGCTCGAAGTTGTTGACGAGTACGTTTACCTGGGACAAATAGTCCGGCTAGGTAAGTTCAACATCGACCGAGAGGTCAATAGAAGGATTCAACTCGGCTGGGCAGCGTTCGGGAAATTAAGACACAGTTTTTATTTTAGGTATACTCGTCAGGTATACCTCAAAACCTGAAAACTAAGTTGTACAACCAGTGCGTGTTGCCAGTGATGACATACGGAATTGAGACGAGGTCCTTCACTGCTGGCCGTACGAGGACGCTCAAAGTCGCTCAGCGAGCTATGGAGAGGGCTATGCTCGGAGTTTCTCTGCATGATAAACTTAGAAATGAGGGCTGTAATGATGATGATGATGATTGATTTTTGTAATCAAAATAATGAGCAAGTAAATTATGAATATTGATATTATGAATATTGATGTTATGAATATATTTGAGTGATTCCCAAGGATATATGTTAAGTAATTTCGTTGTAATTTCAACTATAGTGATTTTTTGGAGGTATTTTCGCAAATAATTATGATCGAGTCAAAATTATACAATCGTGTTTTTGAACAAGTAAATTCAAGATTTAGTAATTCATGTACATGAATTACCTATATCAAAATTCTACTTTCAGTAGTGGTGTCATAGTCCTATACTATTCGATGAAAGGAGGTGCATTTTTTCGCGGTGTCACCTTAAAAGTAAACAAACTCATTTAATACGCGATATTGAAGAGAAGATTTTTTAGCCTTCGCTTTACTGAGTCAGGATCCTAGCAGTGTAAGACGAATGCACAATAAACAAATTGTAATTCTTGTATTTACTTATTCTTTAATTAAAATTTAAACATAATTTAACACTCACCAAACACAGGCGACCATTGTGCTTTGGGTCGAAGTGCTGGGTAATCTTTCGGGAAGGTATCTTCACTCCATAACATTTGCACTCTTACTTTATAAACTGCCATATCGACGTCACAACCCTTACATACGCAGATAAAAAGTAAGATGGCTGCCACTTGCATTCGCAACATTGTTGTTGCCACACGCAGTGTATGCGTACTTTTAAATGCACAATAGTTTTTGCGATAATGATTATTTTATAAATTAATGGAATTTTAAATAATTTCACATTCTACAATTTTTCACCTCTCAAGTCAACGTGCGTGCACTAACTCCGAAGAGAGTGGACTTTTCTATTTCGAGATCTCTTTGCTGTCCGGACAGAAATAAACATTTGGTGGCGGTTCCCGTTTTCATAATCCAAATTATGCATCTGTATTATTGAAGTTTTAGTTGAATGAATGTGTATATATTGCATTGTTGTAGGTATTTGGAGCCTGACGATTTCACCTGACAGTTAATTGTACGCTCTTTAAGCGAGTTAACGCGTATAACATTCAAAGACTGTCTGACTTCAATATGCAGCATTTTTTAAACACAATTGAATTGAAACTTTTAAAAAATACTAAAATTTTCTTAAATTAGATGGCTAACGGTTAGACAAATTATTTGTAATCTTGCGTTAAACGATTTGACTAAGCCTTTATTGAATATCAATAATGAAGTTTAACTGTTACTAAAAGACTATCTGTCAAATTAGCGGACCATTTTTGTTGATTGGCGGGCATCGTTACGCGAAATATTATAAAAATAATCAAGGGTTTAGATAGTCAAGAACCTTAGTGGTTGGTTAAAAATAGAATTTTTAAGTTTTCCTTCCATTACAGGATAAAGTGATAATTAAAATTACGGATAAGAATAGGTAAGTAGGTCTTAAGGATTTAGCTAATGACGACGATAAAAAAATTACAAATAAACGGAGAAGTATTTATGACAAAAATACTGATACACTGGTTGCAATGATGAAGAAAATCCTACAAAAGATGAGGAAGAAAGGTTGTCGAGTGGCAGCTTCGTACCGGTAGACGAAGTATAGGGCGTCCTCCCACCATATGGAGTGACGACCTGGTAAGACATGCAGGAGGTCGATGGATACAGATGACTCAGGACCGTGCTTTTAGATAATTCTTTAGGCAGGCCTGTGTTCAGTAGTGGACTAGTGAAAGGCTGTAATGATGGTGATGATTATGACACTGGTTACAGATAAAACCGAAAAAAATGGATCTAACGTCCATGGACATGGACATGGTGCAGTGGATTCCCTGACGCCACTACTACACGCCACTGTTTAAATTATTTATCTTTACTTCAATTACGATTATAGAAGAAGGTGCTATTATTATTATAATTAAGAATCAAATAACCTAAATGCAGACATCTAATGTTAATGATAAATAATAATAATAATGTCCTCCAGACCGAATTCCGGCCACGGTGTATGACCGGATTATAGTGCCCAAGTGTATGCGCAAGCACAGGTGCACTCTCTATTCCCTCACTCTCATAATCCGATGGGATGGTAAACCGACACGACCGGAGAGAGATCAGGCACAGGACCAACGGCTTTACGTGCTTTCCGAGGCACGGGGGTGAGACACCGCCAACTTCCTGACTCCGGCAACTACTGAGAATTTCTTGACGGAAAAACTGAATAATTAATTTTTTGGCCCGACCCCGGATTCGAACCCAGGCAACATCAGCAGTATCATCAGTTCTCATCAGCAGTCGCACTACTACAACCACTAGAACAACGAGGCAGTGATAAATACTCTGTATACCGTAGCGTGTAATGTTGGTGTAAGAATATGTGACCCATATTGTTCCGCGGGTATCGTAAGTGGCGAAAAGGAAACAATCCAGAAAATGGACTGCGGCGTCTTCCAATAATAGCTAAGATTGAAAAAACTGCCGTTGCCATCCCGCTTGCCAAGCGCGGCAACTATGGCAAATATCTCCCTATGAGGCAATTATGGGGAGGGTCTTAAAATCGACTATCCCAATAATCTCACCCCCGTGACCAGGTTTGCACCAAACGAAAAAAATAAGAATAGTTAAATAAACGCATAAAATCCGTAAATTTAGTTTTATTCAATGGGGAGGGTCCTTATTTTCAGTGGACTTTAATAGGCTGTAACGATAACGGTAACTTTTTAACCGTACCGTGTATTGGTGGCGAAAGAATACCTCACGAAACAAGAGATCAGCAGCGTTTTTAATAGAAATTAAATAATTTAAAAAAAAAAAACTGTAGTTACAATTCCTCTTGCCAAGCGTAGTAACTATGGCAAATATTCCCCAAATGTTCGTTCAGTCGTGTACTTGTGATGGACCGTACTGAACGAATGACATAATTCAACATTTGTTTATTATTATCTCTATATATTCATCAATTACGATCCGATTTATAGCTTCCGTCGCCATTTTAAGCTATATTCGGAAGCGTTGGAAATTATAAAGGAAGCGTGAATTTTACGGCAGGAAATTTTATGGGCGCCAAAGCCATTTTATTTTTATCGTTTTATTTCCCTTTTTAACTTAGATCAATTGTAAATATTATATTATAACATTTTTGTGATCATTGTTATTAGTAAGTTTTACGCCATTACAGCTGCAGCGGTTATCTGCCATGTATACCTCACACTTGTAATCAAGTTTCTTATAGTAGATTTTACGTTTTAATGTCACAAGTAGACATTTATAAGTATAATAATATCCATTTATGTACAAAGAACATAGTTCTGCGAATACTCGATAAACGACCAATAAACATATTATTTATTGAATAATTTAAATTTTTGAAAAGTAATTTTAACACATTACGATACTGCATCACTCGAAAATGTATTTCTCGATCGTCATTTTCCAGGTTTATTTCAATAAGTTTCTCGATACACATTACTGTTTTTTATAAGACAAGAACATTCACTAAGCTACAACCAATCCGGTATGGTCTAGTGGCTAGGATACCTGGCTCTCACCCAGGAGGCTCGGGTTCGATTCCCGGTACCGGAATCGTCGTTTTATTTTTTTGTTCTTTATAATTCATTTACATTTAATTTAGAGACGATTTGTCAATCCTTAGGCAAAATTAGTTCGTAAAAACTATAATTTTTACGAAAAGTGAAACAATTGAACTATTTCAGTTGTTTCACTTTTATATCCTACCAGGTTTATTTGATCAGTTTTATCTGAATAATGAAAAATGGTCTCTATTTATTAATCTAGTTATGATGAAGTAATTGTTAGTGGCGTACGAGATTCGCCCAATTTTGTTCCTTGTGTTTTTTTTTATAGAGTAAGGGTGACAAACAGCATACAGTCTACCTGATGGTAAGTGGATGCTGTGGCCTATAGATATGTGTAATAGATGTAGATAGATGTACGGCATAGATGTATTTGATAGACATTTATCTTCGATTAAGAATCAAATCGCAGATGTGTTGACACCCCTGAGGTTTAGGATGGAATACCTCATTTCCAGTACAAAAGAGTCTCCGGATCTCTAAGCTCACCATACGAAACACAACAGTATTAAAATGCTGTTTTGCGCTGGTATTCTTTGAGAGCGTGTACCTTCCCGTTCGAGCCGACCCATTCAAGCTACAACCATAATACAGCTTCAGCGTGGCTCTACCACGTATAATTTGTATTTGTGTCGTAAGAGGCGAATATGAGAAATGCCTAAAATACTTATGGCTACCGACAGATGGTGATATAACCATGTCGCTTACGTCAGACTTAATATACCCTGAACGGCGGCGAGGAGCAGTGTCAAAAATGCGTAACATTTAGTACTGCGAACGTTAATTTAACAAAGCGTGACGATTATCGCAGGTCCACCCTCACCTTTTATTCTTCATCACCCAATGACGATGAAGAATAAAATATAAAATATTATTTTTCATATATTATATTGTATTTAATATTTCTTTCTTTTTATTTGCATAGTATTCGTAAATCAAATTGGACATACTCTAAAAATAAAGACACTGACATGGAAAATTATTTATGTATATTTAGTCAAAACGAAACATCCAACCTGATTAAAATAATCTTACACTCGACCCGACCCCTTTTCGCTAAGATGGTTTACTTTATTCCGTACATATTTTATTGAACTTAAAAAAATATAACTAAAGCTAAACAAATTTTAAAATGGATCCATTAGTGCCGGTTTATTTTATTTTATGTTATCTATTAAGTCCTGCAGAAGTGACAGTAGCCCTAAAGATTTTAAGAGTTTCCATTAGAACCGAATTATATATTTTTTTATTATCGTTATTACCGAAAGACGTTACCGTTACAGCCTATAAAAAGCTTTCTGCTAAACGCAGGTCTCTTTCATAGATTGTCTCATAGGGGAGATATATGGCCACCGCAGTTTTATTTTTATTTTTAGTTGTTTAGAAATGCGGTGCTGCCCATTTCTAGTTAGTTTCCCTCTGTCGTCTTCTACGACACAACAGGTAGAGGAAATTTCTGGGTTAATCGTTAAGGACGCAAACTATACACTCGGAAGGTCATCGGCTTGAAACCGTCACTCGACTATTGGTGTGAACCACTCCCAACATTAGCATTTTAAGGTTAATTGCAATGTGTAACGGGAGTAATGGAATACATATAATAATTAGTAGATGACCTTTATATTCCCAACACAAGACTCCTCTTATTTCTGAGGTTATTTAGATGTTAGCAAGAGTTCAGCAAACTAACTCAAAAAAAGAGAGAACTGGATTCGCCAAGACATCACAGGTACTCAAAATATTTCGTTATTTTCTTAGATTTGTAATATGTACCTTCTCGTATTTGGTTTTGTCACGCTGTTTTTTTTTCACCTCTCATTACGTATATGTTGACCCCACTAGATGAAGTACCTGGTAAGATATACAAAAAGTCGATGGATGTCTCAGGACCGTGCTTTGTGGCATTCTCCTGGTGAAGCCTATGTTCAGCAGTGAACTTGTAAAGGGCTGTAACGATGATGACGATATTATATGCTCATAACTTACTGGCTATGTCCACCACACAACGACGCAACAGAGTCTATCATTCAATTTTGACCCTTGTAAGCATCGAATATAAGAAATCCTAGTAAGATGTAAGTCTCCAATAGATGACACTACAACCATCTCATTTCGTAGATATAGTAGCGAAGGAGAGCATTATTAAAATCGATACAATCTCTAGCCGTGATTATTTAGTACTCACACTGAATAAAACAAAATAGTGTAACTTTATCCTTATCCCTACCCTTAAACTTACACTTATTGTGAGAGCAGATTATCCCTATTATCAAATTAGCGCTTTTAATACTACAGTTTTTTAATCAAATGTATTCAGTAAGAAGTAATTTAAATTTTTTAAGCATTTTACCGGCATCATTTTAAAGTAAAGTCGGGAACAGACTCAAAAACAGCCTTCGGGGCTACGGCTCACCTTGTCCTCCCTGCTACGCAAAGACTATAGCTACGCCACTGTAATTAATTATCTAGTAAACTTAAATATTAATTTTTTACTTATTATAAACCGGTGCTTGAACACAATCCCACTTAATTTTAAGGGGTAATGAAGAGATAAATCTCATTGTCTTGACGCAAAAAATATATAAAAAAAAATATAAATAAAAAATATATAATAATAAAAATATAATATGATGTCACAAAAAGAACATGGCTCCGAAACCAAGTGTCTAAGGATTGGGCCGCGTCGCTGTGGGATACCTCAAACCCTACGTTTACAAACCTATACTTTGCCGCTCCATTCAATAGCTTTGTTTTGTATTACATAACCTGTCAATGACATGTTGAAACAAATGCTTGAGGGGATGGAAGCTGTGGGGTTAACCGTGACCAAATAAAACAGGTCCACAGACAAAGTTTTATTAAGACGTTCAAAGAATAAGCGTAGTTTGCTGCCTTTTTGAATTATTTTTTCCATTAACTGATATAATTAGACGTTTTTTGACGAAATTTAATATATTAAAGTGTTAAAATTTGCTAAGACTATTAGCTAAGGTTCGTGTAATGTTGTGTTTCACCTAGTTTGAAAATCATCACTCACTTGCGAGCACTACCACCGTCACTATTAATCTCAACTCCACTAACCCATCAACACTACACCAGGAAAAACAGATTATTGTGGATCATTTAGCAGTCAGTCTTTTTAATTTGTTGTTGGTTATGGATTTTTGGTTGTATTTCATATATTGCTAGTGCAATTTTTCTGAGCATCAATATTTCTAGAGCTTATAAAGTATAAGAACATAAACTTATTAGAGATTTTCATTTGTGACGGTGGTCTTTTATAATGAAACGATTCTTTTATTCCTTAATATTTTATCATGTATTAAATTGAAAATTATTAATAGAACGTATTGATTCTATGTCAGAATTATATAAGCTATACCTACTCTTTGATTTTAAGAGCGCCACACGCTAGGTAATGCTTATCAGTTTTGCCTGTGCAAGCAAAACCGACGGCTCGACCGAGTTCCGTTGGGCAGCACACGTAACGACAAACCTGCACAAGCTCTCACGCTCTCAGTCACCATCATGGCACCGGCAGCGGTGGTTGACGTCGACTCAATAGCGCTCATAGGATTATTATTTGTAATTTTGAAGAAAAAGAAAGGTGAAAAAAACGAAGCCGTACAGAGTGGTGCATAAAGTGGTTACAGAAAAGGAGAAAATACAGCCATGTCAACTTACTAAAGGAATAAACATATTATCCGAAAGATTACCGTAATTGTTTACGTATGGACGAAAAAACTTATCTTACGCTGTTATCGCAAAGTAACTCCATTAATTAAATTATTTTTTTACTTATTTTATCTGCGCATTAATTTTTGACAACAGCCTCTTATGTCGCATTTTCCTCTATTTCTCTTAATTTGGTTACACGTTTTTCATATGCTGCCGCTTTTCTATTTCGGTCATGATACTCTTTATCCTTCAATCGACATATACAGGGCTCCGATTTATATTATTCCAATAAATTCCTCTAAAATTGCATTTCGTTTGCGAGATGACATTATTGCGCAGTGACGTACGACGCCATATCCCCTCGACACTTGCCGGATAACTGAAGCCCGCCTGCCACACACGTTCAGTTATGCTTACGCAAGCGACCTGCGCAAGCATAACCGATCGGTTAAAATATCAATTTCTATATTTTTAATTTTGCTTGCACAGGCAACAAATTATGTCATACACACGTTCAGTTATAATTGCACAGTTGAACTGTGCAAGCGTAACCATCGCTTATAACCTAGCGTGTGTGGCCGGCTTTAGATATCAAGCTTTGATTGATACATCAAACAGTTTTAGAGAAAGAGGCAGTATATGTTGCACTAAAGAAGTAAATATTTTTATTTTTTTTACGTTAATATTATTGCAACAAAAGAAAAAATAATAATACTAGCTATTAATTTATATGTGTAATACACAATATAAGAGATCTTCTAAGAATGGCGATGCGTATCTGTTTAAGAAGGCTTAAGTGATTACCTTAGTTTACAAGGGGTGCGGGAAATAAGGATTTATGCAAAGATAAAACAATACCTGCCCCTGTTTGCTTAGTTCAATGAACATTCAGAGTTTCATCATTGTTTTCGTTGCTGGTTTTTATTCTACAAAGAGCCGTGTTTGCTCAGGGACTAAGCACTCGTTCTGAATTTCACAGTACGCGGGCAACCTGAATTCGATCCCTTTTTTTTTTTGTTACATGGGGAAATGCCTACGCATACCCGCCTCGCGGGGGGCAAGGACGGGTTATGTCGGACTCGCACCGACTAAAACCCCATGGTGTTCCACCTTTGTCGCATATTGGCAGGGCTACGGGAACGCTTTCGCACACATCCGCGGCCCTACTAGCGCCTGCCGCCCCATGGCAGCACCTCCTCGGGAGAGGAAAATTCCCTCCCCGTTCTCCTTCTAGGTAAGGCGCACCAGAACACATGGCGCGCCTTCCTCCACGGCTTCCAATTACGTCTGTGCAACAGACGCCCCCGCGTCCCATGCACAAAGGCCATGGGGCCAGGAAAAACGAGCACTTAGAAGTACTAGCCTTCCCGGCCCCAGCGGCGGATCTGGTCTATGGCTCCGCCGCCAACCAAGATTCGGCTGCGGAGGGTAGGGAGAGCGGCGCCTCGCAATACCGACAATCCTCTCCCCCCGCAGCCCCACCACCACCGCATCAACGGTGCGGCCCCGTTTGAGTCGCGGAGGATAGGGCGAGTGGCGCATCGCCATACTAACACTCCTCTTCCTCCGCGACTCCACCTCGGCTGCAGCGGTAGGTGGGGAGGACACACCTCTCACCGCAGTCCACCAACACACATCCAAAGTGGGCTTCCCAAGCCCACTCGGAGTGGCCACCTCGGGCCGGCCCTCCACCTCGGACCAGCCATATGGGTTCCTCTTTGTTTCGCCGTGGGTGATCAAGCCACGGCTTCTAAGCCCCCCGCCACGACAAGGCGGGAACCCGTTCGGGGGGGGGGGGGGGGTGAATTCGATCCCTGCCACCAACGTTAATGTGTAAATTTAAGTGTTTGATTTACCACGTAAAGAAATATTTTTATAGAATTATGGCGTGGCCCGGTCGATCCTATCCACACGGCTGAGGAACAAGAAATTTAGAGTACACTGTTTTGCAGCGGAATAACCGCTCCATTAGCCTTGCAGACATAAGGGAAGGCTTATCACCAGCAGTGGGTCGTAAATAGACTGGAACTTTAAACGTGGTAAAGCGCCGCCACGGCTATATTATGGTTGTAGCACGAATGGATAGGATCGACCGGGGTAGGGCCACGCCCTCGCAGACTACCAGCGAAAAATAATATGTTTAATGCTGCTGTGTTTCACATAGTGAGTGTAGAGAACCGCAGACCTTTTTTACTAGAAATGAGGCATTCCATCTTAGTTCTCAGCGGTGAAAACGCATCTGCCTTTTGATTCTGAATTATGTAAACGTCTATGGGCCACAGCATTCACTTACAATCAGATGTACTTTGTGCTCGTTTGTCACCTTAATTCTATACAAACATTTTAAATACCTTAATACTCATTAAATTATTGTGAAAGATGATCTTATAATTCTAGATTCTAGAAACTCATTCAAATGTTAGATAATTAGCATTTTAATGAAAACACTTTGTACAGCAGTTCAGTTATGAGTCTAGTATATACTTAAAAAAAGTAGACACGATTTTTATTCATCTAAGCGATTAATATTATCACATGTGACCATTATGAGTCTGCGTTGTCAATCAAGAGAGATGTCAGAAGAAGACTACGTTGTAATTTTGGACGTTTCTTCCCTTTCGTTTTATCCCTTATTATTGTATTCCTTTTTCTTCCTAAGAAAATTTCTTTAAATTATGCTTTATATGCACATAACTCCCTTATTGCTTTAGCTTTTGCTAATAATTATGATGCAATCTATTTATAAGTAATCGGAATAACTATATTTAATAATAAAACAACAGCTGCTCAATATTTAAGCAACTAAGCAATAACAAAACGTACTTATGTAGAATCCGAATTTTAGCCATAGATGAGGGTTTTATTTAAAGAAATAAACAATCATTGCGGCATATTTCAGCCATTAAACTTGAACTATCTCACTACACCACACTACACTTAAGGAAGATGTTTTGTTGTAATTTTTCCCTGTTTTGTTTTTATTATGTCTTAGTTTTTTTGTTATTAAATTTGTTTAACGGTTATGTTTCTGATATTTTGTAATTTATAATTTAAGCTGACACCTTTTCCAGTATTTTCTAGTACTTTTACTTTTTATGAAGTATGTTCTGGCTCGGATCATACTTTTTAATGTACCGTAACGGAAATGGTAACACTTTTTTAGATAACTCAAAAATTTGCCAAAAATTTTTATATCATCATGATCATCATAGTCTATCAAAAGTCCAATAGGAAAATGTCTCCCCAATAGATTGTTTCGTAGAGGGGATTTTTCATGTTCCAAAGCTCGGCAAGCGGGCTGGATACTGAAACTCATTATTTCGAGTTGTTATCAGAAAAATGCCCTCTGGGATGTGGGATGTTTTAGAATAGTGGATATTCTTACAATGCCACTTCACGGTTTGTTGGTTGGTTGTAAAATTAACCTAAAAGGTATTTTGCGTTTTATATTTTTACTCAGCTCTAAACTGACAAACAGTCTAGATTAAAAAAAATATGATTACTATAGTTACAGCCTATATACGTCCCACTGCTAGGCACAGTTTACACAGTTTTAGGGCAAGGAAGTGTCCGCCGCGATGCCCCAATGCGTGTTGGCGAACTGCACATGTCTTGGAAATATTTTTTTTTCATATTCCTCAGACATTCAGAAATCCTCACGATGTTTGCCTTCACCGCCAAGCACGTGGTAAATCAGCAATTAAAATTGCAATTAACAATTTCATTGGTGCCGGCGGGGATCGAACCCGGGTTACTCGCGTATTAAAAAAAATACCACCCCCCAAGCCCCTTGTATTGGGGGGGAAAAAAAAAAAAAAAAACACCCACCCAACACACAAAAATCCCCCCCCCCCCCCCCCCCAACCCCCCATTCTGTATATTTACAGCGAGCGTTAACCATTTGAGCTACCACGGCTCTACTTATTACTATAATGGATACTAAATAATATATTACTATAATAGATGTGAATCCGGTACCCAATATAATCCCATGGAGCTTATAAGAGGCGACAGAGGTAAACAAAAACACGAAATAGGCAGCAGCACTTTCCTATCATTCCCATAATAATTCAATACTTGTGATGAAAACTGCGGTTGACAAACCGCTTGTTAAGCATGGCAACCATAGACCTCTATGTGGCAATTTATGGAGAGGCCTATATGCAGTGGTGGACTTTAAAAAATAGATGAGATGAAATAAATAAACAAAAAGATCAAAGGAAATTAATCGACAGAATAATTATATCAAATCTTTTAACTTAGGTTTAACTTAACTGGTGAACTTAAGTAATACAGTGCAAAGTGATAATAATGGCAGCCTTATAGATTATTTACTAAGAAAATTTCACATCTTTATTACGTCTCTAGCTTTCCTTTGAAGTTTAAATTGAGAATATTTAAAACAAGGAGGTTATAAATAAATATATAGGGAGTGCGCACTTCATACTAGAAAAACGGTCCTAAATCGGTGACCTTGAAATGAATGAAAGGCACCGAGTTAGGCGTTCCGTTTCTTTCTAATGGAGTGTCCATGATACAATATTTTGAGGATATTAATAGTATGTACTTACAGAGTTACAGAAAACGGAATGCGTATTTTTTCAATATGTAAAGCGCTGAAGTGTTATAATTAAAATCCGTTTATTATTTTGATTATAATATTGCTTCGCTACGGTATCAAACCTTACGGTAACCTTAGCGATCAAACAAATCGCACTCAACCAAGCATACTTATTAATAGAATTTAAGCTTATATGAAACTCAATTTCTTCTCAGTCACGATGTTTGCCTAATAGGTGGCTAGGTTTGAACCCATCTTTACCACACCAGTTTCACCACAGGAGCCAACATGTCACATGGGCTTCCTGGTTAGCCGAAATAAATATTTAAGGGTAAAAAAAACAACGAGTTTTATTATTTTTTTTTATTAAAAGATTTATAGGTTACTAAACAAAATGGTTTTATGTAATTTTTGTCGGGATACATTCTTGGAATCCCGCAATTTCATGGTCCTAGACCTTTGATGGTGCTTGATCTTCATGTTCAGGAAACTTATCACTATAGATTTTAGCAATTGAATATTATGCAAGTCTCCGCAATCAATACCCTGGCTTAGAGAATGTGGAAACATAGATGAAATTTTATCAGAAAAATGCTGCATGACTATTTGTATGATCCTTTTTTTATAGTGCTGTTTCATAGAGTTTAAATCTATTTGTTTACATGTTCTTTCGGTGAACTTTACCACTTGGAACACAGATTGTGATGGAAAAAATAGCATGCCTCTATTTACAAAAGCAGTAAACGCTGAATGCTTATTAACATCAATTGTGTATAAGTGGTCAACATTTTTACCTATGTCTTTTATCAAATTTTGAAATTCTTCACATGTTATTTTACTGTGGAGATTCTTAACAATACAACCAGTTATATAATATAATATATTATTTTGATAACTGGAAAGCGAGACATTGTTTATCAATGAAATCAATGTTTTACTTTCATTCTCTTGTTCAATCGACCCTAATTGCATTGCACGTTGAGGAGACCTAAACTCTAAAATTGGAGTTAATTCATAGTCACTATCGTAAGTATTGCTATTTACGCTTGGCATTACACTATTTTTGAAAAGTAATTTACGTAATGTGTATTTCAGTTGCAATGCATTTGGATTGTCATTGCCACCACCTCGGGCCCTTATGCAGGAAAATAACATCTCAATATGATCTTGTGAGCACTTATAAGTTAAAAAATATTTCATAGGATCTATGGTACGTGTCAGTAAATCTTTCGCCAAATTTGAAAAGCTTATCGTATTCACATAAAAACCTAAAGCGAATGTTTTTCTACGATGTTGCATTATACTTTGACCCTCAATTGTTAAATTAAGCAAGAAATTACGTATTTCTTCAAAAATAGGTTCCCAGAAGGTTATATTTTTCAAGGTTAGTGGAGCTTTCAATCCCTTCCCTATTGGATTTTTGCCGTTCATCAAATCAAAAGCTTTGTCTAAATGTCGGATATAATCAACAGTAGCTTCACTATTTTGAAATTTTTTGTTTCCGCTGACCCTTAAAAAATCAATCGAGTCAGCTACAGAGACGCTTATCAACTGACTAGCTAATTTTACATTCATTTTATTCCCCCAAAAGTTAACATGTGTATTTGTTAATTTGTTCGCAAACCTAAAACCTTCAGACTCTTGTAATTTATTTAAAGCTTTAATATATTCAAATGATATAATGCCTAAATTAGATTTCATAGGGAATTCACCTAAAGTGTTTCGAGCAAGTTTCAGTATATGAGATGGGTCAAATATACAATGCACCTCAGTTACTCCATCAGGATGTTTAAAATTTGACTTAATATTAGGAACATCAAAAACGCACCCGAGCTGTTCAAATGTTCTTAGATTTACCACAGTACCATCACATGTTATCGAATGAACGATTATGTTGATATCATGCAACATTTTTATAGCTGTATGAACTAACTGCGACTGGATAGTAGCTGTTATTTTGTTTATTAAAAAGTAGCCTATACAGCATTTGAACCTACTTGTGTAAGACACTATTTGAAAAATTAAAGATTCTTTTGCCACTTCATAGGAATCTACATTTTCAATTCCACCCAAATCAACATAACCCCAAGTTTTATCTGAGTTTTTCTCATACACGAGCTCCGATTTAATAGCCATTGAGTCAAAAATCAGGGCAACATGAATTAAAGCGGGATTCGTTTGGACATTTAATTTTAAAAATTCAAAAACTTCCTTAAGGAAACCGACATTACACTCTGCAGAAGAAAGCATCTTGCGAATTGTAGCAGGATGTGGCAAATTAATGCATGTGCGCAAGAATCTGTATGCCCGTGGAGAATAGTAATTAAGAGTTAGAGCAAACTGCTTAAGTTCCTTGCTATATCTTACACCTGGTGATATCTTAGATTTATTTTTAGGTTTAAATTCTGAATAAATATTGCAAAAATGATCTCTAATGATACTCTCAATATCTTCATAATGCATAGTCCTTTTTTTCACTACACTAAGAAGATTTTTCATCGACGTAATCTTCAAATCTCTGCGTTTTAATTTTTGTTTAAGAATTTTAACTTCTCTTTTTATTTGACTATTTTCTTTACCTCTTGATGTTTGTACATACTTATGCGCGACACATTTCCTTTTATTGGATTGGGGAATATTGAGTGAAGGGCTCAAATCAGATAATGGTCGCTTTCTTAACGTGATTTCCTGAGAAGATGTATTTGGCACTGACTCGTAACACATATCAATTTTCATTGAATTAGCTGGAACATCTTGGTGAGCCATGATGTTTGGTGGTTTTATTTGAATATTACTGATCACCTTCACAGTTTCCATGGGCATCTAAAATAATATGAATTGTTAAATTACACTTCAAGAATTAAATTAGTATAATTTAATGGAATAGTAATATCATTTAATGTAATAGAAACATAAGTAATTAACCAGGACTAGAAGTTGTTAATTATTTATTTATGTTTATAGCGCAGTTATGGAATAACATATTATGTCCAGCAGAGAGAAAAATGGAATTAATTGATTGATGATGCAAGAAAACTAGAAAGAAAAATTATCATAATTTTAGCTCGGGTTAAATATTTTACAATGAATTTCAAACTTTGTTCTTCCATTTTTTTATTAATCTATGCCACATTGTTGCTTCAACTGTAGTTACTATAATTTATAAGAAGTATTATGACATTTATATTAAAATTAATACATACCGTTACTAGAACTGATGGCACTGCATTGGCTGTTAAGCGCTTTCTGGCTCCTTGGATAACAAAATCCTGACTTTTGAAATGGTTAGAGCAAACTTTTTTGTATTTAGTAGATCCTTTTACCGGAACTACTTTGATCCATGCTTTCAGTGCATCTTCCTTCACCGGGAAACTTAAACAAATATAGATATATAATAATAATTATGAAAATAAAAACTTCCTTGAAGGGATTGAGATAAAGAAAGACGTGACATTCATATTATAAATCATTTTATTAACTGTGACTTCGTCAAATAATAGAAGTTAGAAAAAAATAATATCTATAATGCCGCAGGTAATTGAAATCAGGACTAGATTACATTTTAATTAGGCCAAGGTCCTTCTCACGCATCTTATACTACTCACTAAAAAAAAAATTACTTTTGGATCGTAGCAGTTGGCACTCTGTGGTCTCTGCCTACCACCATGGGAAAAAGGCGTGAATTTTGGTTTATGTATGTATGTAACACTTTTTCGTCAATTGTGTTATTCATATTCAAAGTTATTGTTTTTATTCTTATTATTGGTCACTTTACCAACAAAACATTCTATATAATTTTCTTTGAAATATACGAAACGGTAGCAAAATATATATCTGAGAATAACAGGAGAGATCCATAATCAAAATTGAAAAATAGCAGATGCTGTATTCACGAAATTCAGACTTAAAAACAATATTAAAACTACGAAAATGTGAACATATCACAATATACTCTATAAATTTTTCTTACCTATGGAATGACAAACCACATTCAGGGTAACTTTCACTTCTACAACCTTTCACACAACACGAAAATACCATTTTCACTAGAAAACCCGAAAAGTTCTGCAATATTAATTAAATCAATTAAATCACATTCGCTGATGACAAGTCAAACAGAGAATAGAAGCCAATAGCGCCATATTTATGCATTTAACAACGTCAAATTTTAAAATAGGTTTGTCATCTATAGCATAAAATGCACCCCATAGTTTTCAGGGAAAGTACATTCGTGTTTTAATGTTTTTTTTTTCGTGTAACTTAATAATATGCTTAATTGGAATACAATATGGAATGTACCAATTATAATGTGCGATAAAAATGTAAGATTCGTTCAAGCATACGTCGTAAATACTACTTTAACTCAATAACTGCCTAAATGTTGGTTATTTTTTATTTTGTGTAAACATTTATTAATGCTAGAAAGAGATATAATACCAAACTCGGTGCCTCTCTATCTAAGGAAAGTGAAGAACGGTTTCAATGTTCTAAGCGCTCGCTCCCTATATATTTATAACCTCCTTGATTTAAAATAAAATATAAATGACATTTTAATTTGGAACTTATTTGAATATTAAATAACTTCATATTAACGAAGTACATATTTCTAAACATAAATTAATATTACTACTCTTTAAAATTTCCCACTTATCTTGAAATTATATTTACATAGAATGAATGAATTTAAAAAAAAAACCCGAAACAAAAAGTGCAGATGGTCTTCAAACGGCTGAAAAGATTTTCTTGAATCATAGCTAAGAACACTCTCGATCAAGCTCGATCACCTTTCAACTAAAAACACAATGCCACAGACAGACACACCGTTATACAGAAACAGAAATAGAAAGAGAAACATTTTTTATTGAATATAGATTATAAATATTATTTATTGATAGCCACTATTTTGTTTAGTTACCACTAGTTCGGAAAAAAACCACCGTCCTGGGACGAACCAGCCAGAACTTAGTACACAATAAATCAACACAACACAAATTAGAAATAGTTTGGTGGCGATCACCTCATTACCACGGATTACTATCATTCATAAATTCCTTAATATTATAACAACCCTTTTTCTTTCAATCTTAGTTTAATAAAGTTTTTGTATATTGAGCGGATCAAATTTTGTATTTTTCTGGGATTTTGTTATAAAAGCGCAGATACACACATTAAACTTGTAACACCCTTCTGTTTTCGTTGGGGATTAAGCATTCAAGTAACATTTTACGAAAAATAAATGCCATTATTGAAGAAGCACTTTTGTCTATATAATGAAAGTTCACTGAGCAGTGGTAGCTTTGAGGCTAAGCAGTCGCTGTAAACTTCACAGTGAGCGAGCAACCAAATATCCGATCTGTGGCGCAGTGAATAGCGGTGCTGAGGGCCGCGGGTTCGACTCCCATACGAAACAAGTATTTGTATGGCCTGTAATTAATAATTATTCCGGTTCTAGATGTTTTTCCTTATGTAATTTATGTATGTAAAATATTTTTTATAGCATGATCGATCAAACGAGCACACAGTCCTACTGATGGTAAGTTGATGCAGTGGCACATAGACATCCACATTTATCCTCAATTAAGAATCAAAAAGCTGATGAGTAACCCTCACTCTTGAGGACTAAGATGGAATGCTTCGATTCCAGTTAAAAGGGTCTACGGTTCACTATATTCACCATACAAAACACCGGAGCATCACGCTGCTATTTTACGCTGGTATTCTGTGAGAGCGTGGTCCTGCCCCGGTCGAGCTGACCCATTTTTGCTACAACTATAATATAGATGCAGCATGGCTCTACCACGTAAAACTGCCTAAACGATTTGGGAGAAAATTATAGTGTTTTAAAGTGTTTAAAATAGTTTGGATTCGATTCCTGGTGGCGGTGTCTCAAAATCGCGACTTAACTTTCTTAACTAAGAAACAAAATATTTAGAGGCCGCGACTGTGAATCTCGCTCACAGTAATTGGAGCAGTCGTCCTCGTCATCACCATAACATCCCATCATAAGCTCACTGTTAAATATAGGCCTCCCAAAGAAATACAATAAGCAGGGTCCTGAGCCACCAGCATTATTTATTTATACATAAGAGGGGCAGATAAGCATACGGCTTGACCGATTGTAAGTGACTACTGACGCCCGTAAACAACTGCAACACTAAAGGAATTACAAGTGCGTTGCAGGCATTTTCAAAAAGATCCTGCATCTTTCGTCTTTCTGCCTCTCTTAACAGGTCTCCATCTAGTGGGGTAGTAGTAAATATTATTTTAAAGATTTAAAAAAATAATTTGCTAAAATCCACGTAATAAAATAAAATGATGTATCTTACCTGGTTTGAAGAGCACCTCCCGTCCTCCCTCAGATGCTTGCACTATCCCCGACACCACTAATCCCAGCACCACTACTGCCAACATACGACTAGTGTTTCGCCTCTACGCGTCATCCTCTGGTGAACTATACTCTGCGGCGACGGACCGCTAATATAAAATTTTAAATTTACTGTTATTTGTTATTTTTTACGATAAATCATTAATATGAAACGTAATAAGTTCAAAGAAATGGTTGTACAAGTGTGAATTTCAATTTTTCTATTTACATTCAAAATATTTCGATTACATTCATAATTCATGTCAATATACATATTGAACGAATTTAGTATACGATGTTTGAAAATTCTGTTGCTTCAACAAATTAAAGGTTTATATGTAGGTTTATGAATTATAAAACAAGGGAAATTTATCTAATAAATAAAAAAATAATTTGTTTGTTATATTGCCATCTATTGGAAACCATAAGGGGTTTTCTGGCAATTCCTATAGCTGTTATAACACCCACGAAACGAAATGGGGTGAAACACCACCACCACATGGCTTTTTTAAATTTAGAATTAACGCTTCACTTAGAAAAAGTAAACAAACCATTTATGAAGAATAAAACTTTCAATAAGGACAATCATCAGATAGAAAGATAGGTTTACAAATGCCGCCATAAATCTAAATAAGTGACGATGTTACATGAGGGAACAACCGTTTTCAAAGTTAGTGAAGAGGTTGTTGTAATTTGACTATGATAGTTACGAGATCAAATTTGGAAAATCATTTAACGACCTAATAAAAACAAATTCTAAACAAACAACGTCATTCTATGATACTGATATCTAGCGCCGTCATAATATTTTTTTGTTAATTTAACGAACTGCATGCATGTTATTAAAAAAAAAATAGTATATTTCATTACAAGTGCGGAAAGGCTGTCATTGCAAAGAGTTCCAACAAATGTCTACCCGAGCCGAGGCGCAGCCGAAGGTGAGGGTTGACAGTCGGAACAAGTTGCAATGATGGTTCCGCACGTGTATTGAACAACTGTTTTTAATACAGTTGCGAAAAAATATATTAATAAATTACCTTTGTGACTAAATAACGATCATTGGGAGCTTCGTTCAAAAACCTTTCCACTTCATTCGATGTTAATATTTTCGACTTTTTAGTTGTAAAACCGTCTGATTGTCGTTTTAAGAATGCATTTAGTTTTGGGTACTCACTTATATCCACGTTGTTCCTTATTTTCAGCATACTTTTTATCATTGAAAACCTGGACCATAACGTAGAAGGTTTTAATTTTGCTGAGAGTTCGGAGAAGTATGCCAACATAACATTCTCTGAAAAACCAATTAAGTATTTGCTTTTTTCTCTTCTCTCCAAGCAATAAATTCGTCTTATGTAAATAACAATAGAAGTTATTTTTTATAATAACTAGTTTCACAAAGAACAATTTTTTATTGAAATAGAGTTGTACAATTTCGCTTTCCATTTTTAGTTAAAGTTTTGTTCTTTGTAACTGCTTATTGTGGCTTTTTGTCTTGACGTTTTGAGGTCACAGGAAGCCACCCTGACAATTTTTCGATGGTGCCTGTATCTATCTCTCTCTCTCTCTCTGTATGTGTGTATGTGCGTGCATGCGTGCGTGCGTGAGTACGTGCGTGTGTAGGTGCGGGCGTGCGTCCGTGCATGCGTGCGTGCGTGCGTGCGTGCGTGTGTGTGTTTATGTGTGTGTGTGAATGTATGTAAACCTCTGTTTAACTGTAGATTTCCTATGAATTTTAACTAATTCGGACCGGTAGACTTTGAGAAATCTCAAAAATAAAAAATTTCCAAAACTGTTTTTTCGGAATAACATTTAAATGGATTAACCAATCGATTCCAAAAACAAATAAGTTTTTAACCTTGAAACCACGTCGATAACCGCTGATCCGTTCAAAATCGGTTGATTCATTCGTAAAATATCATTAACCCAAAATTTTGAAAAATTGATTTTTTTAATTACTCCGATATTTCATATTCAACGTCATAATTTGGTGAAATTTGGATCTCTTTGAATTTAAAATTAGCGGTAAGTTCCAGGGATGGCCTGCAGAGTCAACCAATTTTATTATAAATTACACAAACAACACAAGTTCTATGTCAACCAACATAAGTGAAAATTTTATTCGTTATTTATTTTCTGTTTTATTTTTATATATAAAATAAGGTTAACAAATCAGCAAACACCCACACCCCACCTGATACCTGATCGTAAGTGGATGCTGTAGCCTCGATTAAGAATCAAAACGCAGATGCGTTGTCACCCCTAAGGACTAAGAAGGAATGCCTCGTTTGAACATCCTTCAGTTACAGATGGGTCTGTTATCGTTTATATTCCGTATATTATGCTACAGTATGTTATAATAGCTTTATAAAAATGACAAAAAAGAGAATAACTGCGGAGTTTCTTTCGGGGTTTCCTCACCCGTCAGAGGACGTTTCTCTCTTCAAAGGTCAAACGGTCGCAGATGTAGTAGGTTTAAAAATAACATTTAACAAACCAAATTTATTTTCTTGCAATGTAGAGATAAATATAATTTATTTTCTTTCATTTCAGCCCATCGCAAGTCCTCCGCTACACATGTCCCTAATGCATTGTTGAAAATCACGATCCCTTAAAACAGAAACTGTGCTGCTTCCTGGCCCGCTTTCCATGCGTAGCACAACTATTTTTTTGTAATTTA